GCCGTCAACATCCTGGGGAGAAAGGGCGGCGGGGCCCTCCGCGCAGCCCCAGGGACCAGGCCGTGGCCACTCGGGTGGCAGCGCGAGGAAACTGACAACGCCCGCCTCGCCAGGTGGAGGAATACGGAAAAACGCCTCCCCCCGCCCGCTGCCATCCTTGGAGAAACGCCTGCTTCGGGCCTCTCCACTCCTCCTTGGTCACACGTGTCCCGGGAGCCCTTTTGAGAGAGCAAGGAGGGTCGCTAGTCCTTCTGGGTCCTGTTTATTCCCTAGACGGTAGTTTTCCTGGAAGTGGAGGTAGGGCGGTGAAAGATTACCAGTGCATCTTTCCGCCTCGTTTCTCCCATCCCCACGTGGACAGACAGGTGGCTCATTACCCTTGAGGCCGGCACATTGTGCCTCTTGCTTCTCCCACACACATTTGCAACCACAAACGTTTCTTTTCATCCCCCCCTCAATAAAAAATTGAGTAAGAACCTCACAGAACTACTGGAATATTTAAATACCTTGTCCATGAATCGAGGGACAGAGCCTTAGAAAGAGTTGAGGTCCTGATTCCAACTGGTGTCTAATAGTTGTGTGTCCTTGGGCAGGTCGCATCTTCTGTTTTTCTCACACGTCAAAGGAGACGGTCGGATAGTTACAGTGGCCAAAATATCCCCTAACTGATCTAGAAGTTCCATGGTTTTAGGGAAATATAACCTCTTCAGTGTAGATGAACATATGGGGTGGGTGGACATGCAGTTGACCAAACTGTGTAATAAAAGGAGATATATATCTTGTAGGTCTCTTTCCGGAGATGTGGGCACTGGCCAGCTAAGGGTGTGCGCATCATGGATGCCCTTGTTAAGTAAAAGCAGAGGTCAGCATCCTTGTCCCTGGGAAGCTTGTCTGTTGACACTTTAAGCTGCTGGTCCTTCACAGACATGGAGGTTATTGTCAGTGACTTCGTGGTAGTCAGATGGCTTGTATTTACCGCAAGTTGTAAGTAAAAATTAGGACTGCTTAGAAGAAGATGGGGGCTTTGTTGCCGAGCCTAGTGCCAGATACTCTGGGGGCAGGGGGAGGAGCGAGGATCCGATTTCAGCCCTGCATCGTTAATGCCACCAAATAGTTGTGTGTCCTTGGGCGTGTTTACAGCAGTTTCTAAGGCACTTTCTGTGTCTCTACAAATTGGGTAAATGTAAAAACACAAAGGCAAATGAAAACACATGGTGGGCACACAAAATGGCACAGTTTGCAGGTATTTGGTGGTTTTGGTTTTGGACCACCAATTTCATCATATAGAGTTTCTGGATTATAAATAGTGATAAGGCAATTTTTTTGAGCACTTACTGGGTTCAAGACATCATTTTAGACACTTAATTTCTAAATCTCTGTACGATAAGTCTTCCCCTTAACTTTGTGCATGATGTAGAGGAAGCTCAAGAGGGTTAAGCAAGGTACACAAACCACTTAATCAGCAAGAGGTGGAGTTAGATTTGACCCCATGTCTGTGGCTCCAAAGCCCAGGAAATTTCCACATGGCATCCCTCGCTGCTCAACCCAGTATGCCTCACCACCTACGCAGATGCCTTCCTTTGCTTTTGCCTTTGAAAATGAACTTCATCTCAGTGTACCTAGGTTACATATGTTAACAGTTTTCCATGTGGGATGCTCTGTATATTAATGGCGTGTGTGTTTACCCATTTGTCCTCCCCTTTTTTAGATTGAAGGCAATATAAAAACGAACATAACCAAAGATCAATGTAGTATTAGGCTAACAGGTTTTTTGTTTTGCTTCTTTTGACAGTAAGTCTTAATTTGGCAATCTCATTGTAGGGGAAGGGAGAAACACAGTAAATGTGTGCCTGCTGGTTACTTCTTACATTGGCTGAAAAATCAAGATACTGTATATTAAATGAAAAAAGCAAGTTGCGGAAGAAATTAATATACATCGTGTATTTCTTTTTTTGTTGTTGTTGTTTTTTGTTTTTTTGAGTTGAGGTCGCACTCTGTTGCCCAGACTGGAGTGCAGTGGTACAATCATGGCTCATTCAAGCCTCGACCTCTTGGGCTCAAGCGATCCTTCTGCCACACTCTCTTGAGTAGCTGGAACTACAGGTATGAGCCACCACACCTGGCTAATTTTTTAAATTTTTTAAATTTTTTGTGGAGACGAGGTCTTGCTGTGTTGCCCAGGCTGGCCTTGAACTTCTGGGTTCAAGCAATCCTCCCACCTCAGCCTCCCAGAGTTCTGGGATCACAGGTGTGAGCCACTGTGGCTGGCCAGGATACATGTATTTAAACCTGCATACAGGCACATGTATACCTTCCTGTCTCCTAGCTGTTGACAGTGGCTACCTGAAGGAAGTGGGACAAAGTAAAAAAAAAAAAGAAAGCGTTTTTTCTTTTTACCTTATAAAGTTGTGTTTGGGTTTTAAACACATTTGGGGAGGGAGGACAAGCGTGTGTTCTTTTATTACATAATCTTAAAAGGAAAACAAAAGAACAGCATTAATACACTCTATAATGTTGTCCAGGAACTATTAATGAAATAAGACTCAGGAGATCAGAGTGAAAGGCAAAATTCTGGGAATTGCAGGTGTGGGGGGCAGAGGGTTAAGAGTCTGAGATGACTGGTAATCACCTGTTCTAGCAGTAACTTTAGCATGTTCTGTGACTCCCAAATATTCCTCCTTGACAAGAATGCTTTGGTGCATACCATAATTTATCTGCTTGACTGGGGCAATAAGAATTTATTTCTTCTTGGTCTTGCTAGTGACGGCTGTCTTTGGAAGCAAAATTGTTCTCTACAGAGCAATCTGGTAGAAGGTGGGAGTAGAAGAAATCAATTTATCTGCTGTGTCATTTCTTGAAATTATGGCATTCTGGATGACTTGAGGTGTAATTATTTTTAGTAATGAATTTCAGGAGCAGCAGGTTATCGAGTTAATCTAGTGTGATGCATATATATTTATTAAATACAGTTCCACGATTCTGTCCAGTTCTGTGTATAATTAACAACAACAATAACAAAAAACCCACAGCTTAGAATCCTTGAAAATTAATACAGCTCCCTTCTCCAGCACCAAATACATTCAGACTTTTCAGACTCAAGAAAGCACATACTTCTTATTTTTTATACATGAAGGAATTCTGAATAAACTTGGTTCACTAGAAACATAAGTAATCCTGAGAAAGAGGTACTTGTACAATTATTTTGCAGAAGAGATATTCTGACAATTTTAGTTGTTAGCCAGCGTTTCCATTTAGGTTTTAATTATGTTTGAGACAGAAAGAAATCTCAATCTTTTGGTCTAGGAAGCTCAGTTGTTCAATAGGTTAATTCCTTTGAAGAGTTAAATGCAAAATCTTTCCTTTGTACAAAGTCAGTTTGGGAAAGAATTTTGTCCTCAAAGCTACCTAGCACGGCATTTCCCAGGGCACAACATTTGAGATTCCTGGGAAAAGCAAATATACACATCTGGTGTGAATTCTGCACGGGACAATGAAAACACCTTAATGCCTCTTCTGAGAACGTTCCATTGAGGTTTATAATTCTTCCATGACTAATTACCCAAT